TTTATGTGGAAAATAGGGAACTTCTTAATTTTGCTTTGCTAATAAATCCAATTGAAGGCTCCAACATTTATAATCATTCCAAGACTGAGCTCTCTGGCTGCCTTATTGTAGCAAAGCAGTAATGATTGCAGCAGCAAGAGAAACCCCACTATTCACCATCGTGGGAGAGAACCTCAGGTACCTGGTACCTGTTCAAGTACCTGGTTCAGATGAGAGTTCCAGTCTTCACTAAGCATCATACTGAAAAGTAGTTATTTTTACAAGGTAGTATGAAGGAATAATACATCATCTCTTGCCTATGGAATTAAATTAGGTATAATTCACAAGATTAAAAGCTACTGGCTCCATTCTTCTGGATTAATATAAGTAAATGTGTCACTGGTCTTACTGAATTTGAAAACAGCAAAAATTTAATTTAGTCTAACACCACATGCTAATGCTTATGTACTACCTGGCCAAAATAGCTTTCAAGTACATCAGGAAAATCTTATCAGTCTATCCGTTGTTCAGAGGGACATAATTATATAGCCTTATTCCTAAATAGGAATAGGTTGGATTTACAAGAAGGGACAGAATGAGCAGTTTCATTGACTTGGTGGCCTTTGGCTAAAGTAGAGCTATAAACTTAAATTCCCTTATGTATTAACACTATGACTGGCTCATACTTTATGAACTTAGTGATGGTCATGTAAAGCAATTTTCAAAAACATCCCCTAAGAAGTAATAGCCTATTGTACTATTTGCAAAGCTAGCAAATGTTACATCTTAGGAAATGAAATGTCTTTGTCCTGACATACAGAGTGTCCTTCTAGCATTATTATAGACATTCACTGGTTAACAAATGTAACCCCATTTCTCTGAGCCCTGGTCTTTTCAAATGCCACATGTCTAAAAGAGCATTGGCCTTCTGAATGCACAGCCCTTGGAATATTCTTGGAATGTAGTTCCAACTAAGATAGTTTCCCCCTCTGAAGTACTTGTCATTAATATATCTGAGTCATTTGTTTATGCGGTCCTAGTACTTTGTTGATGAGAGGAGGGGAGTGTAGGGGAGGGGAAACCGGGTGAGGGGAGGTGAGGGGGAATGGAAAGACAGACACAAAGAGAAAGCACCATATTGTTGGAATATGTTGGTGGGAGGGAGGGAACAATTTAAGTGACTAACACATTTCTAAAAACTATCAAGTGATTCATTTGGGAAGCAATACGCAGTACCATTGGGAAGGGGAAAGGAAGATTGGAAGAATCCCACTGCTGTTATGAGATATTGTTCACCCTATATGGAAAGAGACTGAGTGAGTAAGCAGGACAGCCTAGCAAATGTCAGGGGAGATGGGTATATCTGTTTATGTGGAAAACACATGGGATTCACTCCTATGACCTCTGTATGTGGTGAAACAAGTAGAGAGTAATTGAACTGCAATGGAAGAGGAGAATGTCAAGAAGAATCATGGATTTACAATTATGAGGGAATTTAGAAATAGTTTATTACATTTATTATAATATTATAATGTTATTAATACATTTATTACATTCTGGGTTAATATAAGTAAATGTGTCACTGTTCTTACTGAATTTGAAAACAGCAAAAATTTAATTTAGTCTGACACCATATGCTAATACTTATGTATTACCTGGCCAAAATAGCTTTCAAGTACATTAGGAAAATCCTATTGGTCTGTCCACTGCTCAGAGGTTTTACAGATGAGAAAACTAGGACTCAGAAAGTTGAATGATGTGTTTAAGGTCACAGAAGGTGCAAGCAGCAGAGGTAGGATTCAAACCCAAATCTCATGCTATTTCCATTAAGCCATACTACCTCCATTCCAGTAGCTGGGAATAAATGATTAACCTCAGTTAAAAGCATGAATCTTTGGCAACATCAGGTGGAGAATATCTAGTTTCTCCTATTATTTAAGGCCTATGAAGAAAAATGAGCAGTGTTGTGATGAGATGAAGGTTTTGAGACTCAGATGACTGGGGTTTTAGTCTCTGCACTGCTGCTATCTAATCTGAGTAACTTTCACACAACCACTTTTGCCTCAGTTTCCTTATTTGTGCAATGAGGAGCTCAGAATAGAACACTAAGGTCTCTCCCGGCTTTGACAAATTTATGCATTTATGAGATATGAGCTTCATAAAGTAGCCTGGAGATATCACTAGGCCAAAGGATAGACAGTAGGATACAGAACATATAGATAGCAAGTTTGAGCTGTGCAATGACTTGTGGAGATCCCACAACTCTTGCATCCAGATTTATCTACAACACTTCCCATCAGAAGAGAATGATACCGCAGACATTGTTAGACCAGTCCTACTGATTGAATTCAAACTAGCAGGAGCCATGCAGTTGACTTTGATGGAGAAGCTCTATTAGCCTGGGATTCAGATTTATGTCATAGCTCCCATGCAGGAATTTCAATGTTGATGAGAAATGTTCATAATACCAAACTTTGGGACTCTGGAGTGTGCATTTCTCTGATTGAATGTCAAATAGTCTTTGGTTTATGAACTTTTGGTTGCATCTTAATCAGTGTAAGTGGAAAAATTGGTGTTATCTTACCAGGATATTCAGCTGAATGACTTTCCCAAGCTACTGTGTGTGTGTTCACATAGATAGAAATTTACAAATAAATAAAAGCATAAATAAGATGTTTGTGTTGCTGGTTGTTTGGCACAAAGGTTTCATACATAGAAAAATAATGACCGATGAATTATATAAATAGATATAAATATAAATATAAATAAATAAAAGCATAAGTAGGATGTTTATGTTGCTGGTTGTTTGGCACAAGGGTTTCATATATAGAAAAATAATGACCGATGAATTATATGCATATCATGGCTAATGTCCTTCATTGATCAAAACATTAGTAGATTATGTTTGACTGACACTTCTATTCTCAAATTGTTATTTATGTCATGATCTTTTTAAGATTTTTAACATAACCAATTACATTAAGCACTCTTTCAATTAGCCTAGGGTAACAAAAGAGTAAAAATAAAGATTATTTATCACATTGTCACGCTCAACTATAAGATCATAGATGCAGAATTTGAGGGTTTTTAAAAAAGTCATCTAGCTTACTATCCTAATTTTACAAATGAGGAGTTACAGCGGATATAAATAGATGCTAGCACATAACCAACGATGACTTGTGCACAAGAAGTAGAATAAAACCCATCATGAAAGAAAAGTATGATAAAAGAATGAGCTGAACTAGTCACATGGCAGGAATGTTGAATGGATAACTTGAATGCTGTATGAGTCCCAAGGAAATATTATCCCAAGGAGGCCAGAGGAAGGCCTCCAGTGCATTGGGCATATAATCTTAAATGTGCTCTTTCCTCTGTTTAGTGGGCTCCTTCCACAGTCTCCATTCTAAGTTAAACATCCAGGTCAGCCATATCTTTATCGTGTGTCCACATCAAAGAAGGCGTTGTGTTCCATCAGGAAAGCAGAATCACAGTAGCAGGAAGGAAAATGTGAGATGGGCAAATCTGGAGACATCTCCATCCCAAATGTTCAAATGGACTATTTGTGCCCAACCTGTGGTAGAGCCTTGTGAGCTTGCATTAGACTCATCAGCCATAGTCAAACACACTGTACTTTGACCCCAACATCATGATGTCACTTGTCCTCTTCAAGTATGAAGGATGAAGAACAACAACCCTTTCAGGCTACTGGGTTTTCTCTACCATGATCTGGTCCTTCTCCACCATGCCCCAACTTGGGTTCTCTTTTCTCGCTTCCATTTTCAGCTCTCTTTTTGTGATTGCTTTTCTCATTAGAATGGAAGCTCTTTGAGGACAGGGACTGACTTTCTGCTTGTATTTGTATTCCCAGCTCTTAGCCCAATGACTTAAATGCTTACTGACTTGAGTCTAAAAAAATTTATGAAAGACATGGACAAGAAGGCATGTATGGGTTTTTATCTGAACCATTAGGAAGGATTGCCCACATCAGTGAAAGAATGCATTCATGAAAGTATCAAAGAGATGTAGAAGAGATACAATTTAATCATTTGTTAATTACTGGTGAATTATTAGTTGTATCAGTTTGACCCCATGTAAAATTTGTCACATTTGTCCAGATTTGGTAAATTCCTTGGGCAGAACACAAGAATAATTCCTTAAATTAGACTATAAATTAGAATATAATGTAGCATTCAGAGATTAAAACTCAACTTTCTTGTATCTTTTCATTCTTAGGGATGTAGAATGGTAAAAAGAAAGAGCACTGAATTATGAATCACATGGTTCTGTTATTATTTGTTTTACTTTGGGCAAGTCACTTTCTCCTCAACTTTAGTTTTCTCATCTAGGAAATGGGGTGTATGAGCTGAATGATTTTTAAGGTTCCTTCTAGCCCTAGCAATTTATGATCCTATCATCCCAAATACTGGTTTAGGAGTCAGGAAATTTGTATTCTCTATCAGTTACTAGCAACATGGCCGTAGGCAAGTTCCATTCACTTCCCTAGGCCTTAATTTCATCATCTATAAATCAAAGGGGTTGGAATAAATATTGAAAGTGTCCTTTCCAAACTAGATCCTATGGTTGTCTTGAGAGCAGTATTGTTACTGTGTTCTTTACACTCACTAGAAAAGTGTTCATTTTTTCTGATAAAATGTTTCCTAATTTCCTCCTGTAATTCCCTTTCACAGTTAACTAGCTTACCACACCAAGAAAATCAGGTTCATAAATCTCATAAGAAAAGTTAAACTTCAAGGACAATCTGGATGTGAAATCTAGTTGACAAAGATAGTTTTGCTTAACATAATCTTTGTTTTAAATACCGTGATGAAAGTTCACTTACCTTTGGTGGGGTGTGGGAGGGTGTTAAAAATGGGCATAGATATATTAAGCTTAAGTTGTCCAATTAAAATTTCATCATTAGAATTTTCATGGGAAAGAGAGGTAGCCCTCTCTCCCCCACAAAAGGCAAAAAAAAATACACGTTTTAAGGTACAGGAAAAACAAAAGTTGTGGTCACATACCGTAATCCATAAAGAACCGTTCCATCAGGATGCAGTCGGATCATCCGATTCTTCACGGTAACCCCGTGCACAAATGATTTCTTGTCATTCAGGAAGTATGTGTCTGGCACCCAGAGCTGGTCTGCTACCCTGTTGTCCAGAGTGAGGTTTAATGGGATTCCGGAATAAGACAGTCTTTTGTCTTTCCATGACTGTTGAAAATACATTGTAAGTGTATAGTCCTGGGAAGAACAGAGGCAACAAAAGAGAAAACTTTTTAACTGACTTTTCATATCATAATCAAAGAGAATTTTTAAATGAGCTTAATTGTTCTTGGTATTGTTTTGTTACCCAAAACTAATGTCTGCCCTCAAGTAACTTAGTCAATAAAATTTTATTCGTACCTACTACGTAGGCAGGTACTGTGGTAGGCACTGGGGTTACAAAGAAAGGCAAAAGATAGTTCCTGCCCTCAAGGAGATCACACTCTAATTGTGGTTGGAAGAGGGAGAAAGAAGATATATAAAAAGAAGCTGAAAAGTGTGTGTTGGTGGGTGCCCAATGAAACAGCATGATGAAGTTCAGAGGAGTGTATCTAAGTGGGAAATGAAGAAATGGCTGCCCTGGACACCTTCTTAAATTGAGGCCTTAGAAGTAGCTCTCCAGAGCACACCCTCAATTGCCTCTAATTAGGAGGGAGGGGCCCCATGTTCCTACGGAAGTACTGAGGAAATTTGAGTTTTAGGGTTGATATGATCTTGCAGAATGATGAGATTCTTGAGACCATGAAGAAATCTAAAAGAGTGCAGCCATGTAAGAAATTATAAAAAAAATTACAATATAAAACTGAGATGTAGAGATCTCCCCCTTCCCTTTTACTCCCCTATGTTTAAGGTATAAAATCTAGAGTAAACACATTAATCCCATATATAAAAGGATAGGGTAATATTTACCTCCTATAGATTTAAATGCATTAAATGGTATTTTAAAGTTTGAAGTCAAAGTAACTACATAACTAGAATAGAAAATGGGAAAACAATCAAATAATACCATGTCCAAATTGGACATATTTTATCACCTTTATTATAAGCATAATTCCATATAAGCATAAAATTCTGGGGTTAAGAATGGACCTCAGAGATAATTCAGACCTGCTTTTATCTGAGCAGCAATCCTCTAATATCCCAGAAAAGTGTGTGTTCAGCCTTGACTTAGAGAATATTAGCAACAGGGAACCCACTAACACTTGAGAGACAGCCTGTTCCTCATGATAGTAAGTTTTTTTCTTAGAACATGAATAGATTTGCCTGTCTACACCTTTGACCTATTGGGCCTAGTTCTATTCTCTTGGATAAATAGAAAAAAAATTTAATTCCTTTTACATATTCTAGTCCTTCAAATACTTGATGCCAACTATCATGCCTTCCTCTCTTTCAACTCGCATCCCCACTCCCAGCCTTCTTTTCTTTAGGCTAAACATTCCCCGGTTCCTTCAAGGGGTCTTTTTATAGACAGATCTCTTCTGACCACATCTGGATTTTTATTCTAGATTCATGAAACTTTGACAATGCATAAGATATGAAGTCAGGATCAGTACATAACTGAGTTTAGGGAGGAATAATTGAGTAATACATTATGTCAAAACTAGACATAGTGCATCATAAAAACTTGGCTACATAATTAACCATATACAATTGGCATGTGTAAAGGGAAAGATGTTGGCAGTTCTCAATTTACAAAACCATGGCTTTTTATCCAAGTTCTTTATGTACAAGTGGGCATCTCAGAATAACTATCCAATAAGCGTTTCCCTGTGGCTATAGGAACTTCCCATTTGTATTTTTCTGCTGTTCCTCTCTAAGTCAACTCCTGATCATATTCCTCTGCCTTGGGCCACTCCAAAGTGGGGTCAGAAGTAGTACGGGGCCAAGTGGTAGCTAGGGGAAAGAGGACAGAAAAGGAAAGGACAAACTCTAGAAGTGCTGTTGTTTTTCTTACGTCCACTCCTTACATTGTCTTATTCTTCCCTAGCAGCCTCCGTAATCCCTGACCTATTGCAGATTGTAGAAGGGAGTTCAACAATTCTAAATTCTGGTCTTGGAGTCAGAAAGACCTGAGTTTGAAGCCTGCCTTAGGGTTTTACTAGCTATGTGATCCTGGGCAAGTCACTTAATGTCTTCTCAGTTTCATTTTCATCACTGATAAAATGGGGATAATAGTAGCACCTACATTCCAGTGATTTTATGAGGATACGATGAGAAAACACATAATGTGCTATGTAAATTCTTAAGAACTACATAAATGCCAGCTATTATTATACCCATTATTGTTAGGATATTTCCAACTTAGCTCCTGAACCAAAATCCTATCCTGATGTCTCATCTTGGCATGCAAATTACCTTGGGCTCTCAAAAGATATGTCGGCAAAGCACAAGTCCTGGGAAGTTCTACCAGACTGGAAACACCTTGGTCAAGGGACTATATGTCTCATCCAAATGCTGGATTAGGTAGGTTGCAAGAAGCTAATTCCCAGGAGATTAGCCACCAGGGGTTGCTTTTTTTTTTGGTCACTGACACTTATAAAGACCATTTGATAAAGTGTAGGTAGATTGCAGTCTCCAGGGGTAGAGAGAGTACCCCCATTAAGAAATTCAAGGGAATAACTGGCTAGCACAAAGCTTTACACATAGTAGGTACTATTAAATAGTGGTCACATGGATTTTGTACTGAGGTCCCTTTTCAATTCTGGTCTTCTATAATTCTGTTGACAGTGGAAAAAAAAGCCAATTCTCTCTGACCCATTCTAAATGTTGTGTCATTTCCAGTAGAGCCAGAAAGGACAGCCACAGCTGTGTTAAGGCCTAGAGCTTTTGGCTCTAGGCTTTGCCTTAGAATCCAGGCCTCAGTGTTCAGCACAATCAACAATGCAGTATAAATTTCAGCACTTGCATCAAATTCCCATTAGCTTGCCCAAATTATCATTAGTGCTAAAAAAGATTTCCTCAAAATGAGACTAAATAGTGAATTGTTTCTCTCCAATTTTTCACAGTAAAGAAGTGTTTTAATGTGTGATGGGGGAATAAAGCAGTATGAGATAGAGAGGATTATGATGGTAGCAATAATATTGTAATAATAAATGGTAATAATTAAAATGATAGCTTTGTGGTAGAGAAACAAAGGGAGTGAAATGGGGAAAATGCAATAAAAATAAATGGGTGAATTGTGTATCACATTAATCCATTCCTCTCTCTGGAGACAGTTGTGTTTTCCATAGAGATGTGGAAGTCTCTAAGTCAGTTGTGCCATCTTTGTTTTACACAATTCCCAATAGGGCCTCATGCTGTTTTTTTTTTAACAGTGAATAAAAATCACCTTGTGACTTTAAATTAAAACAATAATTTACCTCATTTGAAATAGGAGCGAGGACAGTGAAACTTTTTTTTAAGCCAGCACATAACATTTTGAAGTGAAATGAGGTGGGACAAAGATCTCTTGGGATTGCAATTCCTATAAACATTTCCATAAACCAGGTGCTTACTGCTTTGTGCACAGAGGGAGAGAACAAATCATTGAACCATGAGGAATTAGTTACCCTGATCTATGTTTTGAGAGGAGGTGGAGAGGAAACACAAGAGAATGAATCTATAAAATGAGACACAATTTAGCTACAGCATTTGCATTGAGACAGAATATGTAACATAACATATATTTGCATTCATCCAGGAAAAGAACAGTTTTCAAAGAGCTCTCCCAGAATATTCTGTTCTTTGACACTCACAATAATCCTCTGAGGAAGGTGGACATGGGGGTTGGGTATGAAAGGATTATGTGATTTATGTATTGGAAAAACTACTTATGGTATTTTAAAAAGAAATTATTTTTTCAATGAAGTGATATCATTATGTTAATTTTATCAATTATAGTAAATTTTGGGGGGCATCAGGGTATGGTAGTTATAGATTTGGCCATGGACTTGGTTCAAGTCTCACCTGACACCGTCTTGCTGTGAAACTGTGGGCAAATCACTTAAGCTCCTGGTGTGTCAGTAAACCCTCTAAGACAATAAGTTAAAGAAAAGGTACCAACCTTTATTGGTAGAGGAAGTTCCTTATGCTCACGAAATCAGAGGGGTAGTTCCTATCCATATATTAATGCTTGGGTGGATGCTGTTTCAGAATTGAAAATAAAGGTTTTATGGTAATTTACTTAGATATTTATTATAATGAGCTTAGCCTAGCTTGGTTAGATGAGATTTTTTTTCCACTAAAAAAAGAGGAGCCATGATTGAGGAGAGGAATATACATGTATTTATTTTTCAATGTAAAGTGTGAAAATTATTTTTCTGCTGCTAGGATTTACAGATATCGAATCTAATATACCCATGTGCAATCTACTCCCTGAAAATAAGCTCGATGCTTTAGGAAGCTCTGAAAAGGCTGTCAGACAATAACGTATTCTTTAATACACTGGAGCAGAAATGTATTAAATGGTCTGGAGTTCATGCAATTTGTCAAACTGTCTGACTTAAGCATGGGGAGAATCTGACTCATTATATGAAAAGGAGGATAAAAGATACCAAATTGTTCACATTCAGTGAAAGGCAGAAAGGGTAGATGCAATTTAGACTCAAAAAATGTTGAAAGATTCCAGTGAAATATTACTTTGCTTTTTGGAAGGAAGATAATATCTTAGTTTTAGATTACTTTTTTGGACAAAAAACCAGGCTGCTTCTTACAATTGAAAAGCCATTTGAGAGCTTTTTTCCCCATTCAGTAATTTAAGGGAAAACATATTTATGTACAGTGTTGAATTATAGTTACCAACTCAATCCAGCATTTTGCATAGCCTCCAGAAGTCTAAAAGTGTCTTTCAATGTTTGGATTTTAAAGCCCTTGATAACCTGGCCCTTTCCAACCTTTCCAGTCTTCCTCACCTCCATATACTCTGTAAGCTAATGATACTGGCCTCTTTGTTCTCCCTCGTATACGATTCTCCTCAGTACTTGAAGTATTTCCACTGTCTGTCCCCTATGCCTGGAGCATACTCCCTCCTCTTGGTTTCCCTGGCTTCCTTCAAGTCTTAGCTAAAGTCCCATCTTCTGCAAGAAATCTCAAGTCCTCCTCAATCATAGTGCCTTTCCTTTGAGACTACCCCAATTTGTCTTGTATACATCTTGTTTGTATATATGTAGTTGTTCTTGTGTTGTCTCTACAATTAGACTGTGAAGTCCATGAGAGCAGGG